CGTAAAGGTTTCTTTTTTCGATCCTTCTCCCTCTTCTGCCTTATGTCGTCAAACAGGGATCTGGTCTTATGCTGAATAACCATAATACACACAGGGGCATTGCATTGCTTCTGGTCCTCCATCCATATTGCCAGCATATTTTTCACTTTATCACAGTGCTTCTAGTACGAGTAGTCTTAGTAGCACTCAGAGAAGAACCACTTCCAGCACTAACCTTAATCTTGTCAGCTTTGGTTCGGCGAGTACGCACTGTTGTGGGGGTTAAACCAAGCACAGCGGCTACTGTATGTCCACAGCACGTTCTCTTTTTTCAAATCGGGTTAATACATTAATTTTCGTAGCAAGGGTAATGGTCTTATGTTGCCTCCTCACTACACTAGCATCAATAGTATTTGGAAGCCATTTTGAATGGTTAGAGTGCAGTTTTAGAGCAAAAACACTGAAACACACACGAATGATGTGAAGTCGGAACAGAGACTGGCGTGGCGTGGCGTCGCTTGGGGACTCTGTGACGTTCTGCAAGTGAGGGCAGTGCGCCGAGCCGAGAGAGCATAGCGCGGCCAGACAAGAGCGGATGATGTGACGTAGAAAGTAGTCCGTGACGGCACAAAACGACGTAGTATCGGATCACCGTGACGTTTAACAAATTTTGGGTCTCTTAAGTTCAGCGACGCAGTACAGAAACAACGTTAAGTGGGATGATGTTAAGCGAGGACTTACTGTATTATAAGAATAAATAGCAAGAGATGAGGAATTTGAGGTGAAAGTAAGAATTCACCAGGGGTCTGTATTGAGCCATCATGGTGCTGGAGGCAATATCATGCGACTTTACAACTGGTCTGCCTAGAAGTTATTGTTTGCTGATGATTTAGTGCTCATAGCATATAGTCTTGAAGAAGAAATGGAGAAATTTAAGAAGTGGAAGGATGGAATGGAGTTAAAGAGCTTGAGAGTGAATGTGACAAAAACAAAAATACAGTATGGATTAGTGGCATGGGTGAGAGATCCATGGTAGATAGTGGTAAATGGCCATGTGCTGTCTGTAAGGTAAGGTCAAAAATCAATAATGTGCAGCGAGTGTAGAAGGTAGATGCAGTATACAGTAGTCTTGTTTTACACGGATATTTTTTTCTCGGACGGCCATTTACGCGGCACCTGTTCAGAAGAGATAATTATTATTTACGCGGTAAATGCCATCATATACGCGGCAAGCAGCAGGGCAAGGTGCTGGGCGCTGACGTAACCGCTGACGTCAGACTCGCGCCTGCGACATCGCGGAATGTGATCGGGCCACGTATCCTTACCACCCACGCACTCCCTCAGCCATGCGCTGTGATTGGTCTAGTTGTCCTTGCCACCCCTGTCACCCACGCTCTCCACCGCTGCCGCGTCAGTCTCACTGTCCCCGCGTATATACACTTGTGCCCAAGAACCAGTTTTGTTTTTTCTTTCTACACAATGGCTTCCGCTGGACCCCAACCACCCCCGAAAAGCCTTGAATTACCTGGCCCAAGCCCAAGAGGGTGCGACACGCCTTAAGCTATGAGGTAAAGTACAAGATCGTCAGGAGTTAGAAAAGGCACGAGACAGGTGGATCTGGCCAGACAATATGGAGTGAATGAATCGACGATCCGCACTATCAAGAAGGATGCCGGTAAAATCAATGAACACATGAACATTACCAAGTCTGTAGGTGCCTCGCTGGTGAAATATTGCCACAATAAGGTGCTACTGAAGAGCGAGAGTTTGTTGATAAGCTACATCAGGGGTTCTCAACCAGGGGGGAATTCCCCCCAGGGGGGGAATTCAGGTTTTCAGGGGGGGGGGGAAACTGATTCGGGAGCAAGAGATATGTTCGATGAGAAATCAATCACAGAATTTTGGCCCTTGATGTGCGATTCCTACCCAAAAGTGGCAGAGAGAGCTATCCGTGCATTGCTTCCGTTTGTGTCGACATATCTTTGTGAGTCAGGCTTTTCAACTCTGTTGCAAATTAAAACGAAGCAACGTAGTAGATTAGAGGTAGAAATTGACCTGCGTTGTGCCCTTTCAAGCACTCCTCCGCGTATCCAAGAAATGGCGAAGAAAAAACAATCACAGGTTTCTCATTGACTGTAATCTTCATCTGAATAAAATTAATTCCAAATTTACAATATCCTGGTATTCTATTGAACTTTTTGTTTATTGCATTTTGCTTCAGTTTGGTCTGTTAAGTAATTCATTATAAATATAAAAAAAACTATTTTACTTTTATTCAAGTTTTATAAATCCATCAACATTTTCAATTGGCATTTAATTTGTAAAACTCCACTATAAAAATAATCCATGTAAAATTGTAAATGTATATGTACTAATATGGAAAAAATAAAGGATTTTCAGTATTATATGCATATTATTTGGAATGCACTTTTTGAGGCAGACAAGGAGGGGGGAATGACATTCTGACATATGGTGAAAGGGGTGCATGGGGCAAACAAGGTTGAGAACCACTGAGCTACATGAATCGTCAGTCAAGAAGGAACATGGCGGTCGACACTCGGGCACTGCAGGACTACGCCCGGGAACTCCACACAGCAGTAGCAAGCCCTTCAGTGCTTCCGCTGGGTGGCTGCAAGGTTTTAAACGACGCAACAAGATCACGAATATTGAGCTAGTCGGAGAAGGAGCAAGTGCCGACCGGGCTGCCGCAAGGAGTTTTCCCCCATTTTTAGAGGAAATTATGGAGGAAGGCCAGTACACCGACGACCAAGTGTTCGATATGGATGAATCCGGGTTGTACTGGAAGAAATTGCCATCCAAGACCTTCGAAGTCAAGTCTGCTAGCAAGTGTCGGGGACGCAAAATGCAGGAGCGCATCACCGTACTGTTCACCACCAATGCCTCTGGCACTGCTAAGCTGAAGTTGTCTGTGATCCACAAAGCCCACAAGCCGCATGCCTACAAGAATATGGACATGAGCAAGTTAAATGCCCACTGGCTAACCTCAGGGAAGGCATGGATGTTCTCTGGTCTGTCCCTCTCCTGGTTTGACAACTGTCTCGTTCCTGATATCATGAAATTCTGCGAGGAAAATAATGTGCCATTCAACATTTTGCTCCTAAACAACGCACCAGGACACTCGCCCCTTTTGCTGGATCGTCACCCCAACGTAAAAGTGGTCTTCCTTCCCGTTAACACTACATCATTAATCCAGCCCATGGATCAGGAGTTGATTTGCAACATGAAGGCTGCTTTCTCCGCCAAGAAGTTTCGGGTCCTAAACTACTTTACCAACATCAAGGATGAACTGCAGAACCTAGAGAGTGGCACCGATAGCGAGAGAGAGAACGAGGAACACGAACAAGATTTGGCGGACCATGAAGTGCGAGTCAAGCAGTTCTGGAAGCTGTTTAACATGAAGAAGGCTGTTGACTTCTTGGTGGAGGCATGGGGGCAGCTATCTGTGGCAACAATTCGGCACGCGTGGCGGCATGTGTTGGAGGGTATCCCAGGTGGGAGGCAGAGGCAAGCGGTGGCTGGTGAGGCACAGTCTGTTGCTGTGGCATTGGAGAATGCCACAGAGAGGCTGCACAAGGTGTTAGAGCTGCAGGCTTCTCCGAGACCACCAACGACGACATCCTGGAGGTAATCAGGCAACCTGAGGTGACTGCGGACAAGATGCTGGAAGATGATGACATCAGTGAGCAGCGAGGTGTTACAGAACAACAAGAGCAGAAACTAACACATGCTGACGTGAAGGAAATCATCAAGTTAGTCGAGAGAATGAAGCTCATCCTTGCCAAAGACCTAGTCAATAATCGCTACGAAATGTCTAATAACCATCTGTTGAAATCCCAGGAGCCCTATGTTCAGCTGTATCACGACCACATCAATGCTAGCCATCAACAAAACATCACTGAGTTCTTCACCCGCCAACCACCACAGCCAGCCCAAGTCAGTGACAGTGAGGATATGGACTTCCAGGGGTTTGACGAGGAGGCCCTGCTAGCCTCTGTGGTGGATAGAGACACAGGTGAGGGCCAATAATCTGCCCTCTGCCTCGGAACCAACCACCCATCCCCGTGTGCCCAGCCATCTCTTCTACTAACGTAAGTGTTAAAAAACCTAATATTATTGATATTTCTTTTATATATTAATTGTGTGTGCATACCATCATAAAATTAAGATGTTATTTTTACTACAATGTACAGTATTGTGTCGGAAAAAGGGTAGTCTGGCGGTCAGCCCAGTCTCTATTTCAATTAATCCTATAGGTTCTGTTATTTTATTTACGCGCTTCACTTTATATGCCGACCTCCATGGGTTTAATTAACGGCGTAAAACCAGACTATACTGTACACAAGAGGTACATTAGAGTAAATGGCATACTGCAGGATATTGATGAATTTAAGTACAGTATCCTGTGTGTACAGGTAATCCTGTGGTTTTAGCTAGGCTGGAGGAACTAAACAATGGAGTTATATCCCTGGACTGTTTCAATGAGTGACATGATCAGTGCTGGAGGTAGCACTGAAACTATCTCAGTTATAAGACTCAGAAGCGGGTACAGGAAGTTTAGGGAATTGATGCCTTCACTGATGGCACATAATCATGGCTTACTCACTCAAGCATGGAAAATGGCTGAAAAATGATGATGATGATGATATTGTCATACTACTGTACAATATTTCATACTGGTTCAAAATGGTAAACAGTAAAATGGTTTATCTAAGGACAGCCTAAGTATGCAAAGTTATACAATACTTATAGGAGAGGAGAGGAGTTGCAAAAGGTTCATGATTACAAAGCATATGGAGAAATGATGAAAATTAACACAATTATAAAAAGAAAAATGTGTATAGACCACATTTGCAGTAAGCTATTTTCCTAAAATTAATACATAAAAGTACAAGATGTTGTGAAAAAATTTTAATGATATGAAAAATCATAAGATACAGCATATATACCTGTACATGGACCTGAAAAATTAATTGAGACAATAAATAATGTGTAATACATACCATCTTTGTCTTCTGCATCATGAGATTAGAATGCTGGTGCTGCTCAGTTACAGAAAGATTTTCAAATGTCTTTATATACTTGATGAGAATTTTCTTTACTTCTATCTTCATTTGCTCCCTGATTCTAATAAAGTCTTCTGAATCAGGGACAAATTCCTCAAATGCTATATTGTCAGCAAGCTTAACATCAGGGTCTTTGTATGTCATCATAAATGGCACTCGATTCTTGACAGCATATGCCTGTGCCATGAGAGGTTCGGGGTTCTTTTCTTTGCCATTTGATGAGTGGCAAGGAAGTTGAATACTGTCCCAACAAAGACCATAAGAAGTCACTGAGAAAAAACAACAAATAAATAAAAATGGGAAGACTGATTCTGAAGTTGCATTTCTGTAAGAGTTGGATTAAGCAACTCATAAACAGTATTACCCAGTTAAGTCTATGAGATTAAAAGCCAAGAAACACCCAAGAAAATAGTGGCTGTGACTAATTTATTACATAGTTATAATTTTCTGCTGAAACTGGAGACATTATAATGTTTTGGTAACAGCAGTTGATATACAAAGATGAAGGCAACAAATCATGATGTCACAGCAGCTGTGTGCACCTCACCTGTCATCAGTCATAAGCTTTAACCTTCAAGAACACCTATTGCCAAAAGGCAATAGAGTCTTTTTCCTTTCCTTTTATTTATTAGTAGTAATTTTATTTATTTCTCACATTTATAGAGGAATACATTAGACTGCGGGATGTAGGGTGTGTCAATTTTAGTAAAGTCAACAATTTAAAAACTACTACTGTATTACTCAAATAATGCCATTTTATATAAGAAACTTAGAAATGCCTTTTTTTTTTTTTAAAAAGGCCATTTACCTACTTATACAGTGGGGTATGTTATAACGAACGGATTCTACTATGAATATTCCTATAACGAACAGTTTTACCTATAAAATTGAGAATGCTATAACGAACGCAACTCCTACAACGAACGCGGATGAATACAGGACTATTTCGTCTGGCGCATGAATATGGTTGTACCGCGGCTCACATAAAGAGCGTCAGGTGCCATATTGGTTCATTGTGTAGTCAGTGCACCACTGAACTTGTTGAAATTTCGTCTTTTGATGTGGAAATTCGTGTTATTTTTATAACTATTTTGTTATACAAGTGTACAATTGTAACAATGAATCGTCAAAGGCGAGTGAGAAAGCTAATAACCCTTGAAACTAAGAAAGAAATTATAAATAAACAGACAAAGTGCCTGTAAGACAGTCACCAAAGAGGACTAGGAAGGATGACTCCTCTCCTTCCACCTCTTTTCCATAATTCTCTCATCCCCCCTCCCCCTCTGCCTCCTGTCCTGCATGCTGAACAACACTAAGGTAAGATAAAGTACCGTATTTTTTACAATTTCCACAGAAATTTTTCAGTGTTAAGTGGTTGTATTTGGGGGCCTGGAACGGATTAATCCTCTAACGAACTAATGCTATAACGAACGAGGTTCTAGAACCAATTAGATTCGTTATAGCATACCCCACTGTATATGGCCACAAAGTTTAGGTATATAACCTAAATATGACTATTATTGGGCAGGTGCTCTTCTATTTAAGAACGTTCAACTTACAAACTTTCAGAGATACAAACATCATCACTGAGGGGGGTTACCTGCCAGAACAGGTGTTCAATGTGGATGAGACTGGATTAATTTGAAGAAAATTCCAGATAGAACAAACATTACCTAAGAGGAGAAGAGTGAGCCAGGTTTTAAGGCAGAATTAAAGGGTATAGCTGTACTAAATATCCATAATCTTTTCATTTTTTACAATATGTTTGGTACCTACAAGAGTAAAGTTGGACTTACAAACAATTGGACTTACAAACAAGCCTCAGGAACGAAACTCGTTCGTAAGTAGAGGAGCGCCTGTATATCAATGTGTCATTGATGTGTGTGTTCAACTTTGGTGATTTTTTGTTTCTAAACTTTACATAGTCACAAATGCTGGAGTTTTGATTGTCAAATACATGTGTTTCCCTCTTTTTTGATGATTGTGATTACTTCGTAATGTAAATATTGTGTAAATGTGCACTACAAATTATTTGAAATCTCATGTGTGAGCCAAAGTAATTGAGTATTTTAATAAGAGAGATATATGAAATTGTCATTACTTTGATCCTCTTGCCGGGTTGATTGAAGAGAAAGTTTAACATATACAGTAAAATCTTGATAAATCGGACTTCAGTACAGTGGTCCCTCGGTTAACGAACGCCTCGGTTAACAAAATTACCTTCCATAAGAATATTCAATACAGTTCACGAAAAAAATTCGGTCAACGAATTCCTCTCAACAAGTTTTCGCTTGCTCACCAGCTGGAATATTAGTCCACCAGTACAGTAATTGGTTCTAGGGCTTAAATTCGTTCCCATTTGAGTAAATATCAAGAAGGTTGTACTATTCAATAATTTTCCAAGTTTTATATTAAAATTTTTAGTCATTTTAACAATCATTTAACATAATTGAAGTACAGGAAGCTAGTTTTTAGTGCGCCAAACAGCCACTCAACTCACCAAACAGGCGTCAGTTTGTATCTCTGGTCAGTAGAGGTAACATCTTGCTTGAGACTCTCTTGAACATAAACTATTTTAACGTTTTTACAGTACAATTATTGGTCATTCTGAAATCTATTTTACATATTGACAATATATAGTGCAGTGCAGTGTTGATTTAAAGAAAATAATCTTGAATTACACCCAGTGAACTTAAAATTTTATAGGTGAAATGACGGCATGAAGAATGGGGTGATTTTTCTTCCACCCCCACTTCCTTCTCTTCTCCCTTCTCCTCCACCTCCACTTCTAATTCCCATCATCATCATCATCATCAACCAGGAGCCTTCTACATACACACCTCAAAGTAAGTGTACTTTACTGCATTTATTTTTACTTTGTATGTAATTTTCGGCGAGCTGGAACCAATTACCCAAAATCCCATTGAAACAATGGTTTCAGTTAACAAAATTTTCGGTTAACGAACAACCTTCTGGAACGAATTGTGTTCGTTAACCGAGGGACCACTGTATATCGGAATTTGCTTTTTTCGGACTCTGAGATGCTTTGGCCACCACAAAGTTGTCACCTAAGTCATTTGTCATTTAGTGGGTACTGGTAGGGAATTTCCCCCTGCTGAGCTGCCCACAACCAGAGATCTGCTGAGGTATGGTTTGTTGAGAAAAGAAATGAGTGAGGAAAACAGAAGGAATTACCCAGTTGATCACCTCATAAACAACAGTTCCTGGGCTACTGGCTCGGTGGAGAAAGAACAACACTCTATTCACAGGACCTGTAATCAACACTGAGGTCAGGATCAGGGCTAAAGTGAAGGCACTGTGGAATGAGATAGTGAAGGTGTCCATGGGCAATGTGAAGCTAGAGGCAAAGATAGGTTCATGATGAAATTGGACAAATTGGTGGACATCCTGACATGTCACTGTGCGGTGAGAAGCTGCATTGAGCTTGGGTGCAACCCTGTCTGCAACAGTGAGGATCACATTGACTGCAGATGCAGGAAGGAGCAGATGATACCAGTGCAGGAGCTTGCATTCATTAGAGGTCAGAGAGAAAAGGTGGGTAGTATTGGGCCACACCAGATGGGATTAGCTGATTGCCTTGAGACCAGGAGACAGAAAGCAATGCTGTATAGACAGCAGCAGAAAAGGAAGGCCAAATAGAAGAGGAGGAGGAAGGCAGAGGAGTCAGCCAAGAAAGAAAAGGAGTTGAGGAAGGAGTCACTACTGGAGATGGAGTTGGAGGAGATTGGAGATACACTGGAGAAGGCAGGGAAGAGGGAAGAGGACGAAGTCTTCATATTATAAGTTGCCAACAACTTCTTCCTTGCCTGTGACTAAGAAGAGATATAACACTGCAAATATCACCAACATGGCTCTGGCTGCAGAGATTGCAACTGCTGTCTGGATTGATGCTGGTCTTATCACAGAGTCTGACACAGCACTGGTGATTGATCACAACAAGGTGAGGAGGGCCCAGGAGAGACTGACTAAGGAGCTGGCTAAGAAGTTTGATGAGATTAAGGAAAATGGCATCACCAGTATCTTCTTTGATGGAAGAATAGATGACACCAAAGTGATGATGGAAGTTGAACGAACTGACAGGCAGTTTCCTGGAATCATTAAAGAAACACACTACACAGTGTGCATGAACCAGGTGGGAAATATTTGTGGCCTTTTGTGCCAGAGGAAGCTACAGAAGTGGGATGTCATGCTGAGGTCATTGCTGATCATTTGGGGAACTAGCTAAAAGAGAGAGGAGCAGACCAGATCCTTATGGCCATAGGAGGTGACAGCACTAATGTGAATACTAGCTGGTAGGGAGGAGTAATGCATTATGTGGAGGCCAAGCTCGGCAGAAAGTTGGTGTGGATTGTCTGTGACTTGCACATGGGGGAGGTGAGTCTCAGACACCTAGTGACTGCACTGGATGGAAAAACATTGAGTAACAACAAGTCGTTGGGGCACCTAGGGAAGATGTTAAACACTGACACTGAACTGGAGATCAACTCAAACTTCACGAGGATCACTGTTGGTCCTCCTCTATTCAATCTCACTCAGCACAGACCAATCATATGGCTACAGAATCATCACTACCATCAAGATCAGGAGAGGTAACTAAGAGTCTAGTTCTCCTGGAGATTGGGCCAGGCTGTCACAGTAGGTGGCTCACCACTGCTCTAAGTTTCTGCAGATTTCCAATCATGGGCTGAAGGGTAAGAACCTGAGACATCTGAGGACAATTGTGGAATTCATAGTGGGAGTCTATATGCCAAACTGGTTCAACATCAAGTTAAATCACAGCTGGGTGGAGGATCCCAGGCATGTACTGTACCAGCTGAAACTGCTCAAAAGTCAGACGAAGGAGGTGGTAGGAATAGTGATGCCTGCAGTGAAGAGATCAGCCTGGTATGCACACACTGAGGCTGTGCTCCAGGCCATGCTGTGTAGTGAGGTGGAGGAGGAGAGGAGGGAAGCTGTGAAAATGATACTGAAAATCAGAGGTGAAGGAGATGAGGACACACTGCAGTGTCAGACCCAAGAGGACTCCTGACATCAACCCAGATGCCACCAAACTCTCAGAGCTTATTGAATGGAACTCTGGAGTAACCGAGCCTCCTCTGACTTGCTCCCTCACCACTGCTGCAATCATGGAGTTTCTGGATAGACCAATGGAAGTTCCTGTATGACCCTCACACACACACAGTCAGTACAGAGGTGTATGAGGATGACAACTGATGTAGCACATGTTTACTCAAAAGAGAGGAGGGAG